AAAATTTTGTACTTGCCGGCTAAAATGCGCAAGAACTTTATCTGACTGGAAAATCAATTTTGCCCATGCGTGGAGAGGGACATCTTTGAGGAACACTAGGCGTTGATTTTCAAGAAAATTCGCGTAAATTTCGCCATTGAGTCGTGAAGAGAGAAAATATGGACTGATATGAAAATCATGAATAGGAATGTTAGGAAACTGCTGCAGGAAAAATAACTGTTTCAATGAAATGATTACTTATCACTCGGTTCGCTGTTACTCCGATTCAAACATTAATGGCCCAACGGAACGAAAAGCGCCTTCTCAAACGGCGTGCGGATTTTCTTCCTGCTAAAACAGAAAATTCCATGAATTAAATACATCGTTCCGTGTAAAGGTGGCCTCATCAGTCCATAGGATGCGATCGGGGAAAGAAGTATTCCGTTTACAATGCGCAAGGAAACTTATATATATATATTAAAGAGTAATTAATAGAAACATATTCAATATAGTCAAATAAATAACAAATAAAGATTATGGAAATATCTTCACAAAAGAAAACGCGCCGTTGTTTGTCGCCAAGGAGCAACTGTTGCACCCGTTGATAATGAAACGGGTGCAATCCATTCTTCCGTAACGTACAATGCACCAGTCGTAGTCACAGACCTAGTGCAGTTGCTACATGGCGCATGCTATTTCTAAGGTTTCTTTCGAACTCCTGTAAAATTCTTTGGTAAATGTCCACTTTAGGATAATCATCTCCGATGATCTTGATCTTGACATATGTTGTAGAGGTCACTCTCCTGAGTAATTTTTAGAAGATTTTAGTCGTTGCTCATTGTTTATTAAAAAGTAATTAACAAAAAAGTTTTAGAAGTTGGACATAATTTTTGCACACAGTGTATATAGAAAGATGGTAAACAGTACACGTAAACGAGATATTAATAAAAAAGATGCCTGTACCTAGCCGTGTAACTGGAAGGCTACACTCCCCAGAACCCCCGCATCGCGGCGAAGTGGGAGCTCAGTCGTTTGTGAGAAATGCTCTCTCTTTAGAAAATACATCTTTTTTTATAACTATATTCTAAAGTATATATTTCATATATACCATGTAAACAAACTACACTATACTTGCGAAATTTCTTTTATTTATAATTTTGAGCTTAAGTATAAAAGATTGGGCCCCTCCGCCGAGATGAGGGGGGGTCTGGGAGTTATAGACCTCTATATGATTAGGGACAAGCACCTTTTTTATTAATATTTCGGAAACTATAGAAGATGCGCAAATATTTCTGTATTTCCATACATACTGTATGCAAAAATTACATTTCATTTATAAAAAAAATGTTTTATTGATGAGTTAAGTTAGAGTTAGCTTTTTGGGGAGGAAGTGCAAAGGGAGAGGCGATGCTGGAGCACATATTCAACGAGCGATAGCCAAAATCTTCTGAAAGTTACTCAGGAGCATGACTTCTATAACATATGTCAAAATCAAGGTCATCGGAGGTGACTCCCTTAAAGTAAATATTTATTCCTCAAGCGATTAACACACCGCTGAATGACATTGCGAAGGATGTCGTTCACGCTTGAGAAATTGTTCCACGTTCGGTGGCATGTAAATGTTCCCCAGCCATGCCGTATATGATAATCATATTGGTATATTCATTCACGATGAATTTAGCCATTATGCTCAGATTATTGGGAGTACAAATAAGTCTCCGCTGTTTGACAAAAGATGGCCCCATCAGTAAGTTATGGTTGAAATTGTCAGATGTAAAACGTCATATCGTAAGGTTGGACATTTGGCAACACCATAACCTTGAAATATTAGCGATTTTGTATCAGCATCACATAATTTTTTTCGTGCGAAAATGTCGAGTTTTGAGCCAAATAAGCGTCATTTGCGGGAACTTTTAATTTACTTCTTTAATTTGAATAAATCTGCAGCTGAGGCGCATCGATTGCTTGTAGAAGCATATAGTGAGTCTGCTTTAAGTGAGAGAAGTTGTCATGAGTGGTTTCAAAAGTGTAAGAACGGTGAGTTTGACGTCGAAGACAAAGAACGTAGCGGAAGGCCGAAAGTGTACGAAGACGCGGAATTGGAAGCATAATTGGAGGAAGATTCGTGCCAAACGCAAGAAGAACTTGCACTTACATTAGGAGTAACTCAACAATTTCACATCGTTTAAAATCGTTGGGAATGATTCAAAAGCAAGGAAATTGGGTTCCATATGAACTGAAGCTGAGAAATGTTGAACGCCAATTTTGCACATGTGAAATGCTGCTTGCCAGGCATAAAAGAAAGGGTTTCTTGCATCGTATAGTCACTAGTGATGAAAAACTACGATAACCCAAAGAAGAAGAAATCATGGAGACCACGTGGTCATGCTTCAACATCGACAGCCAAGCCGAATATTCATGGAAAAAAACTTATATTGTGTATTTGGTGGGATCAGCTTGGTGTCGTGTATTATGAGTTGTTCAAACCAAACGAAACCATTACTGGGACTCTCTACTGAACACAATTGATGAGATTGAGCCGAGCACTCAAGGAAAAACGCGCCCACTACTACTCCAGACACGACAAAATTATTCTCTTGCTTGATAATGCTCGTCCACATGTTGCGGCGTCGGTCAAAAACTACTTGGAAACACTCAGTTGGGAAGTTTTACCCCATCCGCCGTATTCATCAGACATTGCTCCCTCTGACTATCACTTCGATCGATGACGCACGGCCTGTCTGAGCAGCACTTCGCATCATATGAAGATACCAAAAATTGGGTCAATTCGTGGATAGCCTCAAAAGATGAAGCGTTCTTCCGACGAGGTATCCGTATGCTGCCAGAAAGATGGGAAAAAGTAGTGACTAGCGATGGGCAATACTTTGAATAAAACATAAAGTACCGTTTTTTCACAATAAATGCCCAATTTTTGAAAAAAAAACGGCGGAGACTTATTTGTATTCCCAAGCACGAGTTGTTCGTACGGAACTGTATCGTGCACTGAAGCTATGGAATCAAAATCAAAGAATTCTGACAAAGAATGATTAACGATTGACAAAGACGACGCAAAGAAAAAAAATTTTTCTATTGCATTTATTAAAAAGTTATTAACGAAAGAAGTTAGAAATATTTCAGTTATTGATATTTAAATCTTTCTTTATGTCTATCCCCTTGAGATGTCTGATCGGAGAGAACTTTGTATGCAATACATAGTACTGTAACTCGAGACATTCTTCAGGTATCTTTCAGTTGTTCATTTGTCAACAACTATGGAAGCCGTACAGTAATTCTAACTTAGTAGAGAATATTGTTTTACGAGATTCTTCATTTAAGGAGGGTATATCTAGTTAGGAGGCTGAAAAGAGATAAAATTTCATGAATTTTTTCTAAAAAAAAGTATATATATTTTTTTGTATAAAAGTTTTTATATTCCAAACAACTTACTTTGACAAAGTTCTCATATTTTTTAATGTAAAAATACTAATAAGTAAATAAATATATATGGCTGATGTCCGGAAAGCCGTTTTCTAAAACGCGTTTTGCGGTGACTACTGCCATTTGAAACCAGGTTATCTGTAATGAAAAAACACCAAAAATTTAATTAATATATGAATTTATTTAGTCCTTAATCGTTCGATATTCCGAAAAACTGAATTACGACAAAATGGCGGCTGTTCAAAGTTAAAGTTTCGATTTTCATAAAGAAAAACAAATATTTTTCGTCCATTAAAAAAGAGTTGGGAAAAAATCTTTCGATTAAAGACTAGATATATATGTCTAAAAAAAGCATGTAAAATTTCAAATTGATTGATGCAATGATTTCTGAGATATCGTGGTCAACGATTTTGAAAACATAGTTTTAAGAAAAACGCATTTAAAGTTTCAAGTACAGTTTATGCTAAATTAAAAATTTATTTTTTAACTTACACAAAATCATCTATTCCAGAGCCATATAATACATGCTCTCCTGATGTTAATGCTCCTAAAATGTCGATTTATTGTTGCCGACGATGTATTCTTTCCTCCCAAGTACTCTGCTACGCGAGATATTCAGATCTGTCTATGCGTTTAGCGTACTCTCTATTGACATATTGATAGACATTAGGATCGCTGCTTTTTCCCATGTGTGGCGGAACGCCACTTAGCGCGTCACCCCGCGCCACCGCACGCCGCCGTCGACCAGAAGCAGTATAGGGAAGCGCATAGTCCGCGCTCGCAGTAAAGAATTCACTAAGGGCCCTATATTAAGGAGGCCCCTAGGGACAACCGACAACTCTCCTGAAGCACTGAAACACGTGCTTCCCTGGCCGAAGTGCTGAGATACCCACTTCTCTTTCAAATAAGCACTGCAAAATGTGCTTGCTAATTGGCCGGAGTATTGAAACACATACTCCTCTCTTTCCTCAGGCGCTGAGAAACGCGCCTACAAAGCGGCCGGAGTATTGAAACACATACTCTTCTCTTTCCTTGGGCGTTGAGAAACGCGCCTACAAAGCGGCCGGAATATTGAAACACATACTTCTCACTGTCACAGGCGCTGCGAAACGTGTCTGCCAAAAGTTAAAGTATTGCAACACATACTCTTCCTACAAGCATTGCAACACGTGCCTTGTACTACACGCAAGGGACAACAGCAACACTGTGCTACGCCAAAAGACTACGGCTAAAGATGTGCTCACGAAAAGGAAGAAGCGCTCTTCACGGCAGGTGAAACTCCTCGAAGATCTGTTCGGGACATCACCTGAACCTGCCAACATATGCCTTCATATGCTACGGCGTAAAGTTATGTGCAAAGGCAACCGCGAGGCGAACTAGAGAAAGAACCTTGTAAACACAGCGCCGATAACTACTTTGTAAAGACTGAATAAAGACTTTTGGTATATCTTTGTTATAAAAAGGAGTAATTATAAATTGGGACCTTAATCACCCAAGTTGGTGATCTTGATTAGAAACCTACCTAATAAAAAAAACCGCTAAGGGAACGATGCCTATCAACCACTCAGGACCAAACGCCCGATATGGCACAAACAAGCACATCCACTCACCAGAAGAGCGAGCACGTAAACAGGATCATGATCCGAGCACCACCATTTTTCCCGGAGGAACCGGAACTATGGTTTGCTCAACTGGAAGTACAATTTGCACTCAGTGGAATAACCCAGGACGGGACAAAGTACATACACGTACTTTCACAACTAAAGACTCGCTACGCCAGGGAGGTAAAGGATCTCATTACTAACCCACCTGCCAAGGAAATATCTAAGAATCAAAAGAGCTTTGATACAACGCTTGTCAACATCACAAGAGCACCGTACGCAATAACTACTAGAACGCGAGGAACTAGGTGGCCGCAAGCCATCTCAATTCTTGTGACACCTACAAACACTTACCGGGCCTGGAGTACCTAACCAACTCATCCGTACACTTTGGTCAGGAAGATTATTCGCTCAAATGCAAGCTATCCTAGCGACACGCAATCAGGATAAGCTTGAAGAAGTTGCCGAACAAGCAGACAGCATCTACGAAGTCACGTCTCGGTCAATGTAAGTAGCACCAGTTACTGAGGAATCAGCGAGCCTTGCAGAACAAATCCAACTAGCAAAGCAAGTCGCTGAAATAAACGCTATGAAACAATATCCAGTACTTCCCAGAAATCGGAAAAGAAGCCGACCAAGAGAAAGGACGACTCAAGACAAACTGTGTTACTACCACAAACGTTTCGGACAAAACTCTCGGAAGTGTAAGAAACCTTGCAGCTACAAACCGTTAAACAAGGAAAGCAGTCATTGACGACTACTAATGATACTGCTCAGACACCTCGTCGCCTCTTTGTCATCTGTCAACAAACGATAAAACAATTCCTCGTTGACACGGGCTCGGATGTCAGCGTATATCCCCGTTCAGTAACTAGCGGTCACAAGTAACCAATAACACATACATTGTATGCAGCAAATGGATCACCCATTCCAACGTATGGTTACATCACTTTGGAACCGAAACTGGGACTCAGACGAATGTTTCCTTGGCGATTCATTATTGCCAACGTTTCACATCCCATCATCGGAGCAGGCTTCCTGTCACACTATCATCTTCTACCAGACTTACAGAGGAAAAAATTACTTGACGGGCACACGGGGTTACAAGCGCAAGAAGCGATACGAAACGACGACATCTTGAGCGTCAAAATTATCAAAGAAGCAAGCAGATACTATTATCTGCTAACGGAATTTCCGGAGTTAACTCAACTCGGAGCACCGGTAAAACCAACGCAGCACTCGACTAAACACTACATCGAGATAACATCTGCTCACCGGAAGCAAGCCGCCCGCGAAGACTAACGCCAAACAAGCTAAAGGCAGCTAAAACGAAGATCGAGCTTATGCTACAAGAAGGAATCATTCGATCTTCGAAGAGTCCCTGAGAAACACTGTTACATATAGTTCCGAAGAAAGATGGAGACTGGAGACCTTGCTGAAATTACCGACGGTTAAACGCACGGACTGTACCTGACTGTTATCCAATTTCGCACATCGAGGACTTTACCCAGACTTTTAACGGCAAGAAAATGTTCTCTACAATAGATTTCGTCAGAGCGTATAATCAGATTCCTGTACACAAAGAAGATATACTAAAAACGCAATCACTACACCATTTGGTCTCTTTGAGTTCACGTACATGCCCTTCGGACTGCTCAATGCCGTACAAATTTTCCAACGCTTCATAAACGAAATACTGCAGGGATTGGAATTCTTTTACGCATACATCGACGAGTTATTCATTGCTTCGTCATCAAAGAAGGAGCATTTGAAGCACTTGAAAGTACTCTTCGAACATCTCAAGAAATCCGAGATAAGAATCAACCCAGATAATTGCGTACTAGGAAAAAATCCACTTTCTAGGGTACCTTGTGTCAGAAAAAGGAACGGATCTTCCACCGGAAAGGGTTCAAGCCATCGAGAGCTTTCCTCGCCCGGTCACAGTCAAGAAGCTTCGACAATTCCTAGGCGTCTTCAACTTTTACAGACGTTTTATTCTAAATGCCGCACAAAACCAAGCCTTATTCAACTAGCTACTTGGTGGACCAAAAACTAAAGGAATGGTCCCCATAGTTTGGACAGCGCAAACTGACAAAGCATTCAGTAAGTGCAAAGACAGTCTTGCACGCGCTACACTGCTAGCGTACCCTCATCCTGAAGAAGTCACAGCAATCACTACCGATGCTTCAGATACGGCGATTGAGGCAGTAATTCAGCAACGTTTCAACGAAGAATGTCAACCGTTAGCCTTCTTTAGTAAAAAACTCAACCAAGCTCAGACTAAATACAGCCCCTACGACAGAGAATTGCTCGCAATCTACGAGGCCATCAAGCATTATCGTCACATACTGGAAGGATACTTTTTACAATCTACACAGATCACAAGCCACTAATCTACGCCTTCCAAAAGGACCCAGTTAACAGCTCGCCTCGCCAAGCACGACATCTCACATTCATAGCACAGTTTTCCACGGACATTCGACACGTCGCTGGAAAAGAAAACGTCGTAGCCGACACCTTGTCTTGAATCGAAGGCATTCAATCAGCAATCAACCTGGAAGATTTGGCAAAATCACAGGAGACTGATGAAGAAGTAAAAACTTTGTACACGAACAATCTGTAATCCACCTTGAAAAGATAGCAATTCCTGGATCTCACAAGATTCTTTGCGACACGAGTTCTTCTCTACCACGGCTATTCGTTACCAAACCATTTCGTCAGCAGATATTTAATTCTCTGCATGGATCAGCGCATCTTGGAGTTAAAGCCACAGTGAAATTAATCACTCAGCGATACATATGGCCTAATATCAAAACGGATTGCAAAAATTGGACGCAGATATACATACTATGCCAACGAACAAAAAAACAACGGCACACATACTCGCCAGTTGGAACGTTTCCACTGCCGTTGAGAAGGTTTGAACACATACACCTGGACATCGTCGGACCACTGCCAGTCTCAAGAGAATGCCGATACTGCCTCACTATAATAGACAGCTATACAATGGCCTAAAGCAATACTTGAGATCACGGCGGAGACGGTCGCAAGACAACTATTCACAAACTGGATAGCAAGATTCGGGACTCTCGTCCGAATCACTACAGACCAAAGCCGGCAATTCGTAGCAGAACTGTTTCACTTAACAAGTTTACAGGCACAACTCACTGGCGAACGACGGCATATCATCCTGTAGCTAACGGGATGATCAAACATCTGCACTGACAACTAAAGACTGCAATAAAATGTCACGAGATTCAAGCATGGATCGATACTCTATTATAATATATCCTATCCTAAGAATAAAAGCAGCAATCAAAGAAGACTTACAAGCTTCACCCGCAGAGCTGATATACGGAGAAACCCTGCGTTTATCTGGGAAATTCCTCCAGGAAACGCCACCTTCAACAGCAAAAAACACTCACAAATTCATTCAAAGAATCCGCCACGCAACTCTTTGCCCACAACAGGTAAAACGACATGGCCAACCGGCCATGTTCGAATATCGCAATCTGGAGGACGCATCGCATGTCCTTGTTAGTCATGATGCACCAACTACAGCGTTACAACCGGCGTATGACGGGCCATACCAGGTCATAAAAAGGACCTCCAAGCACTACATACTGAAGATCAAGAGCAGAAATGTAAACGTCTCCATCGACAGATTAAAACCAGCATTCATGGTTTCCGATAAGCAACCTGCGGACGAAAGCGCGGCTGTCGAAAAGCCACAACTACAACGGGCACAACCCCCATCTCCGGCGACGATAACCAAACCAGTAAAGCTGTTAGCTGGTTTTAATCAGCAAAGAAGATGATGTGGTGGTACGCCACTTAGCGCGTTGCTTCGCGCCGCCGCGCGCCGCCGTCAACCAGAAGCGGTATAGGGGAGCGCGTAGTCCGCGACTTTACCGCTAGGCGCTGTGTCGCGCTTGCAGTAAAGAATTCACTAGGGGCCCTATATTAAGGAGGCCCCTACGGACAACCGACAATTCTTCTGAAGCATTGAAACACGTACTTCCCCAGTCGAAGTGCTGAGATAAGCACTTCTCTTTTTAATTAGCACTGCAAAACGTGCTTGCTTATCGGCTGGAGTATTGAAACATATACTACTGTGTCCAAAAAGTAAGACCAGTTTTTATTTATTTCAAAAAATATTTATTTACTCTTCCAAATCTATTTCGTCGCCTTCAAAGTAATCCCCTCCCGACACAATACACTTATGCCAACGTATTTTCCAATCCTCGAAACAAGAATTAAAGTCGCCTTCCGGGATGGCTTTCAGAGCGCGTAGCGATTCACGTTATATCTCTTCTATTGTCTCAAAACGATTTCCCTGCAGTGGTCTATTGAGTTTTGGGAATAGTCAGAAGTCACACGGTGCTAAATCAGGCGAATACGGCGGTTGTGGAACGATATAGATCGAATTTTTGGCGAAAAAGTCACGAAGAACGAGTGCAGTGTGAGAAGGTGCATTATCGTGGTGCAAAAACCAAGAATTGTCTGCCCACAATTCTGGCCTCTTCTTGCGAATAGCTTCACGCAAACGACGCATAACACTCAAATAATACTCTTTGTTGACGGTTTGGCCAGGTGGAAGGAATTCTGAATGGACAACACCACGATAATTGATGAAAACTGTCAACATGACCTTGATTTTCGATCGATTTTGGCGCGATCTTTTCGGTTTGGCTTTACCTTTTGCACGATATTCACTGGATTGGTCGATGGTTTCCGGGTCGTAAGCATAGATCCAAGTCTCATCTTCAGTAATTCCGTTTCATGACCGATTGATAGTCAGAAAGCATTTCTTCACAGATCTTAATGCGACGCTCTTTTTCGAAGAAATTGATATGTTTTGGCACTAGTCGAGATTTTACACGTTTCAGGCCCAAAATATCTTTCAAAATGGTTTTGGCACATCCTTTCGAAATACCAACAGCATCAGCAAGGTCTCTAACAGTCATTCGACGATTAGCAAGCACAAGTTTTTCGATTTTTTTGACGTGTTGTTCATCGGTAGAGGTTGATGGTCGTCCGGAACGCTCTTCGTCTTTAACACTTTTACGACTTTCTTTGAACTGTTTATACCACTTGTAAACATTCCTTTCCGACAAAGCATGGTCCCCGAAGGCTTTCTGCAACATCCTGAACGTTTCTGCACCCGAAATTTCATTCCGCAAACAAAATTTAATGTAACTACTTTGCTCAATATAATTAGACATTGTAAAAATCGCCGAATGCACTATTAGCACAAAACCAAGCGCAAAGCAAAAAGTAATGAATGTTTTGACATGAAATTTGTCACAGATGTCTGTCACAATGCTGCGAACTTAGAAAAAAAATATTTATGATGTGCGGTTTACCCGCGCTATTTAAATTGAAAACTGGTCTTACTTTTTGGACACAGTAGTACTTCTCTCTTTCCTCGGACACTGAGAAACGCGCCTACAAAGCGGCCGGACTATTGAAACACATATTCCTCTCTTTCCTCAGGCGTTGAGAAACGCGCCTACAAAGCGGCCGGAATATTGAAACACATACTCTTCACTGACACAGGTGCTGCAAAATGTGTCTGCCAAAAGTCAGAGTATTGCAACACATATTCTTCCTACAGGCATTGCAACACGTGCCTTGTACCACACGCAATGAACAACAGCAACACTGCGCGACGCCAAAAGACTACGGCTAAAGATACACTCACGAAAGGAAGAAGCGATCTTCACGGCAGGAGAAATGCCTCGAAGATCTGTTCAGAACGTCACCCCAACGCCCGCCAGCGTCGTATGCTACGGCGTAAAACCTTGCGCGAAGGCAACTGCGAGGCAAACTAGAGAAAAGACCTTGTAAACACAGCCGTTAACTACTTTGTATAGCATGAATAAAGACTTTTGGTATACCTTCGTTATAAAAAGGAGTAATTATAAAATGGGACGTTAACCATCCAAACCATGTATTGTAGCACCTGTAGTAATATTATTGAGCCCTTATTAAATATGCAGACAGCGATATATGCCGCTAATTCAACAATAATCGAGCCACTTGAAATAATTTTTGGGCTGATTTTTCAGATCAATTGGTTATAACTCTCATTATTGTTTTTATTAAACCCGCCGACATATTTGTGTAGTAAAATATCTTTACTAAGATCTTCATAGATAGACTTGCGGCACAATAATTTCTTTCTGCATCTTCAGTTTTTTGCATATGCACTAAAACTTGTAACGCTTCACTCGCGACTCGTGCCGTCGGCACACGAATCGGGTGCAGCGGCAAAATACTATTCAAGTTTCGGCGATCGT